CTTAATTTAAATACTAATGTTATTGTTGAATCTATTCATGTAGATTTTTTGAAAATAAGTTTATATGTGATATTGAAATTGATATGGAGAAACAAATTGAAATGATTCCTATGACTGAAAATAGAAGAAAAGAAAGTAATGATTATGTTAAACTTTGAAGGAGAAAAAGAGCTAGAAAAGAGAATCTTTTACCTTTTGATTTTGTTTCTCCAGATTCTATAGTATTCTTAGTAGAAGGAAATAGAATCAAAGTGCTTAAGAAAATCACCAATTCTACTAAATGTAGATGAAGACCCTAAAACATTTAATAAAGCTATGACTTTAAGAGATGTTACTTTTTGGAAAGAAGCTATTAATGATGAAATGAACTCAATCATGTCCAATAATACATGGGTCTTGGTAGATTTACCTCTAGGTTCTAAACCTATGGGATGTAAATGGGTGTTTAGAAAGAAATATAATACAGATTGTTCTGTACAAACCTTTAAAGTAAGATTAGTTGCAAAAGGTTTTAAACAAAAGTAAGGCATAGATTATTTTGATACATATGCTCCAATAACTAGAATAACATCCATCAGAGTTCTTATAGCTTTGGCTTCCATTTATAAATTACATGTGCATCAAATAGATGTTAAGACAGCTTTTTTAGATGGTAACTTAAAGAAAAAAGTATACATGAAACAACCAGAAGGTTTTATTCTTCCAAGTAATAAGAATAAAGTTTGTAAATTAATTAAGTCACTAATAATGGCATGAAAAGTTTGATTCAACCATAGTAGCCAATGATTTTAAACATAATGGAGCAAATAAATGCATTTACTCAAATTTTACTAAAGAATATAAAGTTATAATATGTCTCTATATGGATGATATGCTAATTTTTAATACTAATATAATTGGCATAAATGAAACCAAAAGGTATCTGATTTCTAACTTCAAAATGAAATATTTAAAAAAAGTTGATACCATTTTGAGAATTAAAGTTAAAAGATATAACAAGAGTTTCGTACTTAATCAAAGTCATTGCATTGAAAAACTGCTTGATAAGTTTAAGTATTTTAATATAAAAAAAAAAGCCAATACTCCATATGATATAAGTATAAAATTAACAAAAAATCAAGGCTATGTAATTGTACAACTTGAATATGCTAGTGCTATTGGAAGTATTATGTATGCTATACATTGTACTAGACCAAATATAGCTTTTGCTATTTACAAGTTATCAAGATATATAAGTAAGTCTAGTATAAGTCATTAGAAAGCCATAAGAAGAGTTTTAGGTTATCTTAAAAGAACTAAAGAATTTGGCTTATTTTATTTTAGAGATCCAACTGTTTTGGAAGGATATTCAAATGCAAGTTGGATTACTAGTATAAGTAACAATAAATCCACTTTAAGATGGATGTTTACCGTTAGAGTTGGTGCAATTAATTAGGCATCCAAGAAAAAAACTTGCATTTCACATTCAACTATGGAATCTGAATTTATAGCTTTAGCTGCAGCAGGCAAAGAAGTTGAATGGCTAAGAAATTTATTAATGGATATAAAGTTGTAGCTATAACCAATGACAGCCATTTTCTTATACTGTGATAGTGAAGCCACTATGTCTAGAGCTTATAATGAAATTTATAATGAAAAATCTAGACATATTAGTCTAAGACAAGATTATATCAGAGAAGTGATAAAAAAATGAAGTAATTACCATAATATCTGTTAAATCTGCTAACAACTTAGCAGATCATCTTACCAAAGCACTACCTAAAAATTTGGTAAGAAGCACCACAAGTGGAATGGGTTTAAAATTCCTTTTAGACACTAATAATGGAAACCTAACTTTTAATTAGTAACATCTAATTGCAAAGTTTAAGAAGTAACAATAAGTTATTGTTATGTGTCTGTAAACACTAGTCAACCAATTCTAAATATTTGAAATACTAGTGTAAGCCATTGCGTAAATGGAGGATGAGATTGAACTATTAATGAAGTTTATAATTAAATGTCTATAGTAATGGAGACATAAATAAGAACTTCACCTATATAAACATAGAAGTAGTGCCGCTTCAATAAGAAAATTGAAACTTTCTTGCAAATGTTTATGAACAAAGATAGTTACATGGTCATAATAGTGCTAAAGCGGTTATAAACCTCTGATAGAATATTAAATAAGTATTATGTGTGTTATATCTTCAATTCTAACACTAGAAGTTGAGGTTTAATCTGCGGACACCATCAACTTTGTTAGAATTCTAAGGTATATATGTTAATTGAAGGTTTAAATTGAAAGATACCTTCTTATATTCATAATATTTATTTGTGTGAAAGGCTAAAGATTAAGCACCAACATTCCAAACTAGTGAAAGATTGTAAGTAGTTTAGAATATGGTGTATCCCACATTGAGTCAAAAGATCACTTATATATGGTTTGAAAGATATTACTTATGTTATTTAAGTAATTAAGTTAAATGTTAGAGTGAGCCAAGTCATTTGGGCTTGCTAGGAGTTTTTTGGGTCAAACAATTTTAAAAGTCAAAGATAGGCACTTGGGCTTATTTGGCAAATAGATTTAATTTTTAAATCTTTTTTTATTATTATTTTTTATGTCAAAATATTACTGATTCTGAATAAACATATTTAAATAGTAAAAAACATGATGGTACGAATAAACATATCTGAACAAGAAAACATAATTGTTTAAATAAAGTTTATTTAAACAATAAAACATAACTATACAGAATATCATGACTTTTTGAATTAACTTGATTGGTGATTATTCATTTATTATAAATAAATCTTTCTACCTGACCAATTTCAATACATTTGATTTAGAGAGTTTTAAGGCTTTGTTATATCTTATAGGTATAATTGCTTTTAAGATAGTGTTTTTAACGCCTCAAAGCCATATTTTCTTCTTTCTTACTATTTTTATTTTCTTAAATTTTCTAACAAAAGGGTCGGTCAAGAGTTATATAATGTTAACCATGAAGTAGAAAGAATAAAAATCAATGACAACAATCACTTAACAAAATGAAGCTTATAGTTAGCCAATAAATTGGTAACAAAGAGTGGTGTCATTTGCACCTTAAAAAATTTTCAATACATCTCAAAAAATTAATTTTTAAGAAAATTATTTAAATACCTATTAGTTAATTACTTTTTTGTCAGTCACACTTCTTCTTAATAAGTTATTAAAAATCTATTTTCAAAAAATTTTTAATGTACTAAAAATTCATTTTTGGAAACTTCTTTACTATACTAGATGCATTTTCAAAAAGTATTACATTTATCCGAAAATGCATTAATGATAAGCATTGCAATTATATATCCGTAAATGCATTTTCAAAAAGTATTATAATTATCTGAAAATTCATTTTCGGAAGTAACTTTTTACTTTAGTTTCTTTGTTACAATTTTTCGATCAATGTCTTGCATGAAAACATCGGATGTCCCTTACTAAAATCTCTAAACGGGTTTCTAATGATTTCTTCGAGGTATGGACTATTTAAATCTAACAATAGAAACCTCTAATCTTTCGGCCATACTGCCCATTCAATAATATTTGCAACATTTTTCTAATTCTAACAAACGTGCATTTGAGATGAATCAATAATTGTGAAGGGGTGCTCTTACAAGTGGCTACTACATTATGTGCGATGAGGTAGCCACACTCCAACGCATATGGTGCAGTAGCCAACTTGCACAAGTACCTTTTCTCACTTAACGATTCCTCTCAAAAGCATATTTGTCGTAATTGCAAAAATGTTGCAAATATTATTTAACGGACAGTGCCTAGTGGCTAAAAGATTAGAAGTCTCTATTTTCATATTTGTCAGTCTACTAAAGATATTATCAGAGTCAATGTTCCTTATGGTACCAAGTTAGTGTATCAAAAATCTATTTTTGAAAATTTTTAAAGGATTCCAAAAATTAATGTCATAATCCATTAAGAAATTATTAAAATATACTTTTGAAAATTTTTAAACGTCTTTAAAAATGGATGTTCGAAAATCTTTAAGGGATTTTGAAAATGAATTTTCAGAAATTCTTGAACGATTTCAGACATTCATTTTCAAAACTCTTTAACAATTTTTAAAAATTTATTTTCAAAATGTTCAAATTGCATCTCAAAATTAAAAATTTTAAACACAAAATCAAACGAAAAAAATAAATGATTTATTTTTTATTCTAAACTATCTAACGTCAAATAAGTGATTGAAATTTAATTTGTGATTTAATTTTTCAAGGATTTAAGAATTTTGATTGAACAAAAAAGAATGCGAAAAGACAAGTGTTTGAACTTTTTAATAAATTTATATTTTAGATTTGAAGTGTATTAAATAAAAATTAAATGTTAATAATAATGGGGTGTGAAGAGAAGTACTTGAGAACAAAGTATCAAATTTGAAAGAAAAAAAACGGAAAGGGTTGAGCCCACCATTTATAGTTGGTACGACGTGACCTCAATGAGTATCATCAATTTTTTTAAAAAAAATTATAACGGGTCCGGAAATGATGTGTTAAAACATCATTGGTAATAACACTTTCAAACAAAAAAATGTTTGGCCAGTTAAATTATTCCTTCATTGGATTCCAAATCATTCAAAGGATTTTTTTTTTTTTTTTTGGTAAATATAGCACACATTTCCCTTGCCTTGTGTTATACATTTTCAAGTATGTGGCAGCACTTTTGTGTTGAAAAACTGGTTGAATTCTGCCCCCACCACCACAACCAAAATTTTAGTTTTTGGCTGCATTTTTCAACGTATTGATCATGACCTGAGGAACATAATTCATATTCCCTTCTCTTCAGAAAGAACTACCTCAAAATATCAATTTTATTTATGATAGCTTTCAAAGTATAATTTGACTGCACATTTTCTTGTTCTCTAATCTATTAGAAAATTCATAAAAGAATATTAATAGTAAAAAATATATTAAAGTAAAACTTATTTTAAAGTTCCGTAAAAATCAGATAGAGACAAGGAATTAATTTAATTGGTTTAATTTAATTAATTTTGATTGGCATACAGAACCCATTAAAGCATTTAATGCTTGGAGTTTTCCCAATAAAAATTAAATGGTCACAACTGATTTAGAGGTGAAACTTGAAAGGCATTCATTTCAAGAACTCAGATTTCACGGTAATAACATGCAGCCTTGAATATGCAATGGAAAAAACGCCTTTCTCATCCTTTCAAGCCCTGCCTGCAGCTTGAGGAAAATAATGTAAAAGGGAATGTCAGGTTTTTCTAAGCAGTTTGATTCTATCCTATGCCAAACTAATAACGAAAAGATTTCAACAATTATGCCACTAAATAAATGTAATCATTGCAAAAACAAAATAACGCAAAACAAATCACTTTTTCAGATAAGATTCTTACAACAAAATAAATGGAGTCTGGTGTTTTCTAACAGGGAATGTAAATTCTACAAAGCACCAGAACAAACATTTTCTGTTGGATATAGAAAGTTGCTCATTGATCATAGCAATAGCAACAGCAAAGGATATCTGAATATTTCCTCTTGAGTGCTTGGAGATGAAGAAATTCTAAAGCTCTAAATCAAAAGAATGATTTCTTGTTTTCTCCAAAGCAAAAACAGAAGGATATTCGTAATTTATTCATATTCATCAGCTATAAATTACAATCTCACATTTAAGTTAATAGAAGAATTAACAGCTGAATTCCCGATAAAACTACGCTATTCAACAAGAGAAGTTTGTTAAAATCAATGTCAAAAATACTAGTCATGAAGCTAAGGGAAACCCCAAGTTTTGATAAGTTTAAGATCATAGTTCTTCTTTTTTTTTTTTTTTTTTGCAGCAATGTGGATTGATTAGAACTTAGAAGAATGCCCGGCTACCATAAAAAACCCTTGACCCATCCTTCTTTTTCTCCTGTTCTGTTTTCTTGCTGTGGTTTTGAATCAAATCTCCGCGATCATCAGGTTCAGGTTTGTCAAGATCCATTGGGAGCTTCATCTTAGCCAACGACTCAGTAAACTGTTGCATGCTTCTCATGTACATGTCTACTATTTGTTGCTGCATTGCGGACTGTTCTGCCTCAAGATTGATGTTTCCGACTGGAGATGAAAAAACTTGACCAAATTTAACAGAATTCATATTTCCTTCTTTGTTGCTCTCTTCTTCTTTCCTTGAATAGTGCAAGTCTTTGACATCTCTAGGTTCAGTGAGTTCACCTCCTTTCTTTGAAGTTGGGGTATCCGGGCAAGCACCTGAGCTTGGATTAGCCTCGGTAGTGACCGATGCGTTGAGAGAATTTGATGACTCGCCACCAAGACGACTCTTCTTCTCCGTAGAGTCAGCTGAGTTCCTATCATCACTTAAGCTTGTTGTAGTTGAACTCAAAAATCCAGAATTTTGAAGGCTTCCATTTGGAGAAATGGATTCACCATGATTTTCTTCAGATGAATTTGCTGTCATTTCATAATCTTCAACGTGCTGGTGAGAGGCACCAAGGTGGAGAAATGAAGCAATTCCTGGCCTTGAATTCAACCCATCAAAGTACTCAGAAACCATTTGCTGATTCTCCCTAACAACATTGATATCAGGAAATTCTATCCTTGAATACTCAATCGGGTCTGAAATAGCTTCGGAGATTTTTCGGTCAAGCAATACTACTTCTGCAGAAATTGAAGAATCGGTTATAGTGATTTCAGGAAAGGAATTGGTCTGGGAATTGACAGGTGCGAAAGTGTTCAAAGAAAGACTCAATTTGACGGTACCAGCAGGAGAATGGAATAGATCAGTGGAAGAGAGGCTGTAATCTTGAGTGACTTTTCCTTTGCCAACAACCTGTGAAATGGGAACCAAAGTAAATCCTAAAAGCTGATCTTCCATATAGTTTCTAGCCCTACTAAGCATCCAAATCTCACATTTGAGAACAGCATCAATTTGAGTGACTTTCATCATCAAATTTTCGTTGAATTCTGGATTTTTTCCACCTCCATTGATGATTCTAGTTGAGTGGGTATCATCAGGGTTATAGGTTAGGGAGAATTTGGCATAAACATCTTGGTTGTCATAGATGCATATATTATGAATATTCCTAGCATGATGAACATAGATTTCAAGAATGCCCGAAAACTCGGAATCTCGGTCTGCATCGCTAATGGCGTTTGAATTTGGGTTAAAACGGAAACCAGATGATCTACCGAATGAATCCATCACTAGAAATAGGACTGCTCTTGAGAATTTCAAGGTTGAGGACAACAAAGCTTTGACAAATAAGAAAGAACAGAACGAAAACAGAGGTTGATACAGAGAACAAACAGATCAAAAATGATACATTGGGTGGGTATGGTAGTTGGTGGAAATGAAGAGGGAAGAAGAGAAAATCAACGATGTTGTTGATGAAGATGATGATGTTACTTGTGGTTGTTTTATTATGCAATGCAACTTTTTTTTCCCCTTTTTCATGCTGCTCTTTTCTTTTCTTTTCTTTACGAGGTGGGTGGGGATATTGATTTTTGGAGAGAGATTGCTTTGCTTGTCATTGCAGCTTCCACTTCCAATGACTTCATTTGCTCCACTCATGAAAATGGAGGTCCAATTTGGCCCCCCATCTTCATTATCAGCTTTACCCCTTGTCCTTTATACATGCACCCCAATTTTTTTTTATTTTACAAAAATATCGTAGCTTGAAAATTAAAAAAAATTTAATAATAATTTTTTCAAAAATCATTTTTCAAAAAAATTAAATAAATTAATTAAATTAAATCTCGTATTCGTGTACCCTGAAAACTTTAGTCTTTAAAACTTGATAACCCCACTATTCCTCTTTATTCAAGACGTTAAGAGAAGAAATGTCTCAATAGTGCCATACCACCATGTTGAAAAGAAGATAAATCATGATTGAGAAGAAAGAGGAAAATGATGACAAACCTTTTATAGGTGAGATGCAAAACTAATCCCCTTTATATACACTTTCCACTAACATTTGTTAGTAGAAATCAAATTTTCAAATCTTTAAGCATATTATGCCAAATTACATTTTAAGCAATTGGAACTTATAAATACCTAACCTACTTTTTGTGCTGTCCAAGATAGTAAGAAAATTATGAAGAATTCGAGATATTTCCATTCCTTAGATTCTAAGAAAGATGAATGACATTACAAAAGAATCATATATTTGAGATTAAGGTAAGTAAGAAATCATATTAAACAAATTTAATAATTCGTATATTTATATTATGGTTATTTCATATTAAATATTTATAAATATAAAAATTATCATATCTAAATTTATATTAACACGATAAATACAATGTATATTTTTTATTTTAATTGTCAAATCTATATAAATTCTTCTCAATTTTAAACTATACCATTTTTATATTTTTTTCTCAAATTGTATCTAAAATTATCATAAATAATTTTGATACATATATTAGATTTAAGGATGTGAGTATATTAAATTAGACAAAAAAAATCATATGAATCAGTCACAGATTTACATGCTATTTACATGGACACTCTCAAATTGAAAAAAAAAAAAAAATTAAAAGAAAATTTTGTTCTGAATATCCTAAAAAAAAATTTTGTTACACCCAAAAATTAGAAAATAAGAAAATTTTAAAAAATTCCATGAACACTCCAAAAAAATTTTTTAACATCATTTTCATGAATAAAATTGATCAAATCCATCAGACAATATTTTATATATAAATTTTAAATAGATACCCTTCAACAAAAATTCTTGAATGTGTCACTGAACAAATGAAGAAACAATAAAACATGGGACAATGATTAGTGATCCTGTATTTTCTTTCTTTTTTTTTTTTTTTTCTACCCAATCGTTTGCTGGACTTAAATCAAGAAGTTTGGGACATCGTGTGAACAACTTTATTCCGCATTCAGCGAAATGCTGCCGGTAACATTAATACCTGGACCAACTCTTCCTCAGAAAAAATTTTGGTTTTGTTTCATTTTCTGTCACTTCAGAAGAAACAGGTTTAACAAGCCCATGAAATTCAAGAACAGCTGGCATCACCATTTTCAGTCAACAGCTAAAACTCCTGTTGGAAAGCGAAAAATCGAACTCAATTTTGAAATTCAGGGCCACGGAAATAAGAATGGTCATTTCCTTTTCTTTTTTTTTTTTAAGAAAGTCAAGTAATTAAGCATGCTTTGATGACTATGACCATGGACTAGCAAATACCAATCTTCAATCTTGGTTCCTTGATCTAATTCTATGTGGAAAATTGAAGTACATATGGGTTTTTACTTGTTAGATTAGGTGAAGAGAGAAATTGAAGAACACGCTTTGAGGGACAAAGGGTGAAACAAGGAAAAAACTCCAAGCTCATTTTAAGCTTATTTTGCAGGACGCATGGTCATAGAAAGCAAATTTTATTGTAATAATAATTAAAGTAAGAATTGAACTTGAAATTTAGTTTAAAGGATTTGTCTATTTTTTTAGGTTATTTTTTGTAAAATTGAGATTCAATCTTATATTTGTAAATTTTTTTTAATTTTCTTTAGATTTTGACCTTTTTTTGTTAAAAAAAAAAAAAAGGAGCTAAAGCAGGATTTGGTGAGAAGAATTTCTAAGTTAACAGTCAAAGTTTTCGGTAGAGAATTAAAGATCTGATTTGTTTGGTAATTTTAAATTCTCAAAAAGCATTTGTAGGGGCTGGGCAGATTTTGGATTCTGATAGTGGTTTTATGAAATGGACCAGAGATTGTCCTCTTGGATTTAGGGCTTTGGAAACTGGATATAAAAACAAAGCCCATGACCATTTGCCTTGAAGTTTCTTCACATTTTGTTGGAGAATGTGGGTGGAGCAAGGTGGTTTGGGTTAATTTAAGAAACCGACTTCTGCAATTGATGCTGTTGAGGGTTTGGCGGCATTTGTGCATAGGAGGATCATTCATTCTTTCAAAAAGCACCACAGCTAGCTAGCTATTTATCTATCCATTAACTTTTATATTTCTTTAAAATACCAACAATCACATGATCTATGAATAAAATGTTAAACTTTTAATTTCAGTTATTCGAATTCAAATTTAATCTTGATAACCTCAAATACCCAAAAAAAAAAAAAATCAGCATGGAAAGAAGATCAGAGAAGTTAAATACCATTTGGTTAATCGGATTGAAGATTGTTCTCCAATTGAAGTAGTTTCCATACGAGTGAGGCAATATGGGTAGAAGATTATTCAAGGATTGATTTATATAGCAGTTTAATGTTCTTAGTGGAAGTGTGATTAAATGCAACGATATTTTGAACCATATTTGATAAAGGTAGAATTCTAAAATTGATTGTCATGTGTTATCCACTCATGATTTCGGTACCATGAAGATTCATGGTGGAACCCTCTATATATAGTCATCAATGTTCATGTACTGTAGAAATAAAAGGGGTTTTTTAATGGTAAATATAAAACTTACCAGTTCGTTTATAATATAATTTTCTTCGATTTGGTGATTGTCATAATGGACCTTTGATACCTAATGCAGTGAGTAGTTCTTTGATATGAAAGATATCTATGTTTTGTCTTGTCCTTTGCCACAAGGAGCATCCCTTTTCTGCTCCCGAAAACCGAGTGATGCTCATGAAGGAATAAAGGGTATGAAACTTTCCCTTGTTTATGGCTTTATGGTGGCATGGAACTCTTGTTTAGTAATTGAAAAACAGCATTGAGCAGCATCAAACTTCTCGTTGTGATAATATATCTTTTTTTAATGTCGGGAGCTTAAAGTTTGTGGTTGTAGGTACTGTTTTCTGCATCTCAAGCAATAATAACCTCCTCATTCTCTTTGCCTAAACATGTCAACGAGGAACAGTTGTGTTTTTTCTTTTGTCATTTTTACTGAAACAGGTGTCATCCTTTTATGTTGTGGAAAGTATTCATGATTGCACCCAAACCATTATCAACCTTGTTTATTGGTTATGTCGAAATTCATTCCCACCAAAAGAATGGTCATCTCTATGAAAAGAGAAGGGTCAGGTTTCCACTGTTATTTGAAATGGCCATGTAATCTTGAGGAATTAATTTCTTCTATGTTTAGGAAAACTGAAGTAAATAAAACTCCAAGAAAGCAAGAAATCTTGCTACAAAGGAATTGCGGTCTGCCGTGGAGCAGAAATAAGAAAAAGTATACTGCTATGTACGGGAAAAAGAAGTAATAAAAATGTCCAGCTGTGACACAGATCACTATTGACTTGACCTCCAAGCAGCATGCTTATAACCACCAACTTTCCATCTAACTGTTTCTTCTATCCGTTTCAATATACCGTTGAAACAGAGGAAGGTTGCTGCCCGTACAACTGTCGCTCCTCTCCCTATTAATGGTTGCGGAGCCATTTGCAAAAGGACTGCAAGTGTCGTGCTCTTCAGACTTAAACCTAGCAACTGTGAAGCTTTGGGCAGGAACTTCTATTCAAATATGCCTAAAGTCATTCTTTTACTAGGTTGAGTGAGTGCTCGACGTCCTTTAACACAAGCAAAAACTTGCCCTTGAAACCCATCTTGGCCCAATAAAATTCAGAATGCCAGTCTTCCACCTTTCAACGAAGGCTAGATAGATGAATTTTCCTCCAAAGCTCTTTAGAGAATTCACAAATAAAAAAAAAGGGCGATCTCTTTGATTCCCCATCATTATTACACAGCAAATAAGTTCGGTTTGAGACTGTATTACCCCAACGCTGCAATATGTCAGAAGTCGGAAATAATAAATGTATTTAAAATAGCCATCCAAGAAACAATACAGTGCCTGCTAATATGAGAGGGAAACGAGATGAAAAATGATAAAGCTCGGTTGCACAATAACATTAATACTATGATTGGATAAATATTAATAAAATTAAAAAATAAAAAAATTTTAAAGGAAAGGATACATATAATCTCTATTTGAAAAATTAAAATTAATAAAAGAAATGAAAGAAAAAAAATTATAATAACCATTGTTTGAATAAAAATTAAAAAATAAAAATTAAAAAAAGAAATGATTTATTATAATAATTTTTTTCAATTATAACATTTCATTACTTATAATTTTAAAGTATTCTTAAATTATGATATGTTTATTATCTTATCTGACCTCACAATTGTTGTAATATCAATAATTTTTAATCAAGTGAAACAAAAAATATTTTACAAATATGCATTAATAGATTTTAAGTTAATCTGTTATCTTATAAATCCAAAAAATATATCTATTCATATTCAACTATTCATTAAAATCAAATCACCAAAAAATTATAAAAAAATTTTATATTAAAAAAAATATGTGAAACTTACTTTAAAAAATAGATAATTTTGAAAAAAATTACAGGATGGATAGTTTTGAAAAAAAAAAGAGTTTTTATTAGGTTTTTAGTATTAATAAAAAGATGAATATAATAATCTTTTTATAAAAAAAAATATATTTTTCAACTTTCCTTTCTCTAGCTTTTCTTTCAAATTAGGGTATTAAAAAAATTGGATTTAGAAAAAAATAAAAAATTATTTGATTTTCACCTCTTTTTTATTTTTTAAATTAAAAATTTATCTAAACAAGAAAATGAAGGTTTTGTTTCCTTTACATTCTTTTACTTTTCTTTCCTT